ATGATCGATGTAATACTGCCACTCTATTCCGCTTATATAATAATAATTATAAAAAAAAAGGAGTATACATATGTATGTATAGGTGTGCGCGCGCGCGTGTGTGTCTGTGTGTGTGTATGTTTAGCGGATTCTCCTTTGAAACTTCCGCACAAACAAACTCCTTCGAAATTACGCGAGTAATGTATCCTCATGTTCGTATTTCGAGACACCCTGTATCGTGCTATAATATAGCCTTACATTTCTGCCTGTACAAGCCGTTTTTTGCCCGCGCGCGCGCACGTTCGAGGATTAAGAAGCGGTCCCGGCCTTGCCTGGCGCGACCGATGCCGTAAATTATTATTTCCACGATAAAGGCCGTCGGGGCAGCGCCGCTGAGTAGAATTCTACCGGTTACACCGCAATTAATGCATGTGACGATAACCGCGGCGCAGATCTAATCGGGAGCGCGGATCCGCGCGTCGATCGCGGTCGCGAAATAAATGCACGCGCGCAGCTTGATAAAATACACCAGCGACATAGATGAGACGAGCGAAATATCATGCCAAATATGCGCTCTCACGATATCTCGCTTTTACGTCGCTATTTAAAATATCGAACGCGTCTTCGAGCGTTACGTAAATATGACCGTTGGACTCAAATCCGTGAGAAATCGCAAAGTGGGCACAGTTTTTTCTATTTCGCTTTCGCAGAAACGAGGAAGTTGTTTCTATATACAGTGAACTCTGACCGCTAATTATCAAATCGCGCATGTGTCGCATTGTCGAGCATTAGACGAACCGCGTTCGAAGTTCGCGAATTCTTCCCGGGAGGCGTCTCGTACCCGGAAGAACGCGGGAATAGAGAGAGAGAGAGAGAAAGAAAGAGAGCGGCGTCGGGGTCACTCTCTCTCTCTCTCTCTCTCTCTCTCTCTCTCTCTCTCTCTCTCTCTTTCTCTCTTTCTCTCTCTCTCTCGGGATTCGGACGTGAGAGGAAAAGGAAAGAAAGAAAGAAAGGGAGAAGAGGAGAAGCGGCGACGAGAAATCCACGTGGTCCGAGTGTGCGAACGCGCGGCGAGCGGTCCGCCGCGCATTCGCGCGCTCGCTCCATAAAGGATTTCCGCCGCTTTTTTTTCCCTTCACCCTCGAAGGAGAGCAAGTATAGCGCGCTGCCGAGCATTGTATAATAATGTATCGCATATGGCGCATCTTGTAAAACTCTGCGGGCGTCCCTCCCCTCCCGCTCCCGCCCTCCTCCTCGGCGTCTCATCGGGAGGATGAAGACCCCTGAATGAGGTCTCGTTCCCGGTTCGGGGCCGGTTCATTCATTCGGCACGACGGGCCTTAGAGAGGTGACGAAAGGTCCCGAAAAACCGCCTCCAGGTCGCGTTCGACGGGGGGGCCGGAGTCTGCGGATTTCAAGCGGCTTCTAGTTTCCGATCGCCGGCGACGTTTACCTGCGATGGTTGGTCGGCCGCTCAAAGAATGCGCGGGGTGTAATGTGTTTCGACGAGGAGTAAATAGGGGGAAGAATGTTTTATGGGATTGAGGGTAATACGGTTGGGTTGCGAGAGCTTCTTTGGTTCGCGTTATGCGTCACGTCACAATGTCTCACGCTGTTTCACGCTACGTCTCATATTTTAACCTTTCCGTGAAGGTAAATTATTCTTCTTCTAGAAAAAAAGGAAACATCGATTCTGCTTGCTAAAGGTAGATAAGCATGACGGAAAGCTGTCTAGTCAAATTTTTGTAATAATAAATTTACTTTACAAATTACTTCTGGTACGCTACACGTAGTACACACGAATTGTGTTGATTTATGCGTCGCTTTGTCGTTTCCTTCCGGTTTTATTCGACAGATATATTCTTTACATTTTTTTTCCATTTTAATAATGCAATTCAAGTAGCGTTTTTCGCGAAGATCGTTTTCTGTGGATTTGAAAACTACGTCTACTTTGTTTGCGTATTGTTCAATTTTCCTCAAACGGCGTTATTCGTTTGTACAGTATCTCGCTCGATTAGCCAACAGGATACGACAGATCCGATTAGATGAAAATATGCGGTTGGTACACCGCTGGAGACAAAACCAGTCTCACCGTGGTCATCGCCCTATTCAGGCCGGGGGTAGTCAATAGGATCAGAGACGATAACAATATGTTCCGAGTCAAGAGACCCTCGAAGGAGCGAGAGACTCGGCGCGCGGTTAATCCTACAGATTAGGTCTCGGTCTTACATATACATATCCACACACACAAAAACAGCTCTTTGAATTTACAATTCTCTTCCGCTCGCCGAACTACCACCAAAAGGGATGTTCGTCTTTTGTAACGAGAATACCCCCATTCTAGATCATCTCTCGTCCTTCGAACGGAAGTTTGCAATTGCATGCGCGATTTTTATTTTTATTATATATATCCCAACAATTTCCTTAGAAATATAAAATAAAGGCTCTCGCGAAGAAAACAAACAAAGGAAACTGGGCAAATTAAGAGCCGAGCGCGGTTACATTTGCGCAAATATTCAAATTGTTTATTCCGATAAATTTTGTCCGGTAAATTTCGTACGCTTCGGTCCTGGTATCGGACCATCTTCAGCGAGTGGTGTTAATCAAAGTATGCACATATCTCGAGTCACGGCTTCGAAACGTACGAAATTTACCGGACAAAATTTAGCGGAATAAATAATTTGAATATTTGCGCAAATGTAACCGTGCTCGGCTCTTAATTTGCCCAGTTTTCTTTGTTTAATTTCCTTAGATTTCGGCTAACGTTGTGGAATCTATAACGTGATCTTGAACAGACTTATTTTCGTAACTGATACTCACATACATCGTATTACATTTCATTCACGATCGATGGTGTTTGACAATTTCACGTTTACATTCAAAACAAATAGTCTTGTTTTTCCCATAGATATATTATATATAGATAGAGTTTTATCTATCTTACTGTCTACTAAGATAATAAGATACTTTCCTCCCTCGCGCATTCCTCCCGACGGCCGAGAAAATAATCTATTGCTGACGAGAAAATAACCTCTTTTATTTTATGTAGAAGATACCGTGTTTAATAAAAATACAATACATTTAATTTCTCGCACTTGTTAATTTCTAAATTACTTGAAATTTTAATGCAAATTCCAAGTCCTTACAAACGATGTGCGTCCGCCGAGAAAAACATACGAATGCGCATGCGCAAGGAAGGGAAATCTGCTATTTAACTTGGCAGACGCGGCTCTAAGGCAAAGATGCCACGAAGCTCTTTCTATATATAATATATCTATGGTTTTTCCTATGCGTATTTATTTCGCATCTCTTTATTTTCCAATTACAGAGATTCAGATCACGAATGCATCCACATTCTTCCTTTGTCTCTCTATTTCGTTCTACACCAATATCTCTGATCTGTGGTAACTTCACTTGTAACATCGCGAATGTATTTCAGACGAGTCCTTCGATTTAAAAACCTGACCAATCCATCTGCAGATTCACATCAAAGAAAAAAGAGACAGAGAGAGAGAGAGAGAGAGACGCGAGAAATTATAATTGTCAAATTTGTAAAATTCTAGACTCCGTAGATTTAAAAACGCGGAAATAAATGAAATTCAAATGCCTAGTATAAAAATATAGAAATATATATCTTTTAAATAGTAAAGTATAGAAGAAATAAAAATCTAGCATGCGTTTTTCAATGATTCAAATATTAAGTGCCTCGCGGATGTGAAGGGTAAAAGAACAAAAAAAGAAAAAAAATTCGAGAGTCTGAGAAACCTGCAGGATCTGCAGCATCCTCTCGCGGTGAACGAACGGTGTGTATCTCGCGTTTATTCCGCCGCGTCGCCGAAATATACATATCCATTTCCGATCCCGAGAGTGTTTCCAAGAGGGAGGAGGAACGTCGTAAAGGACGGACGCGTATCCTACGATGGGACCGGCTTCTCCGAGGCCGGGATCGACCACGTTATAAGATCGGCCACGTCTTTATCTAGGTTGTTTAGTACGCGCAGGAGGGGGGGGGCGGGGAGAGGGTGCGGTAATATATTTCGGAAGGCGCGGAGGAGAGAGATAAGTGGCCGGGTAGGTAGCCGCGGCGCGGTTGTCGGCCAGATAGAGAGAGGAGTCAACCGGCTCCGGTAATGGAGACTGCAGGGTGCCGCTAATGCAGTAGCGATGTCACGGCGCGCTCGGTATACTCTTTTCCCTTTCCGCCCTTTTGCTCCGCCGGCGATATCTTCTCTCTCACCGAGAAGACCGTCGCGATATCACAGCCCGACTGCGCGTATGTTCCTCTCTCTCTCTGTTCGTATTTCCTTTTCTCTCCCGCTGCCCGTCGCGCGTGTACGACGTGGTCGTACTCTTTAAACTCTCTATCGAGGACGTTGATATCGGGGTATATCAGGATGCGATAGTAGTCGGACGTGTGGAATGTGTTTATGCGAGATAACGCGGCATAAGTTTATTTTCGTGTGAATTTTCTTTTCTCTCTCTCTCTCTCTCTCTCTCTCTCTCTCTCTCTCTCTCTTTCTTTTTGATTAATTGAACGTCGAGAGATTCGTTATTTATCTACACGTGTTCTACTTTCTCTATTATTTGGTGGCAGAAAATTCTCTTTGCTGGATTTAATTTCTTGAATTAATCAATTATTAATTTCTTAATTTAAATAATAAAGAAGGTGATATATACAAACGCCTTCTTTCTCTCTCTCCCTCTTTATATTATTTAAGTTGAGAAATTAATTTAAATAATAAAGAAGGCGTTTATATCGCCTTCTTTATTATTTAAATCTAACAAATAAACTAGAAAAATACAATATTCTTGAGGCATAAATATATAAACAACTGCGACATTTACACATTCAGTATAAAATATTTGCAATAAATGAATATTAATTTTCTTCCTATAACCGAAAATTAAAGAATTCAACATGCATTTGTGAATTTTGCATTTTGCACACAGTGTATTCGGTGTGCGCGTTCAGTCACGCAGTATTAATATTGATCCCCATCCCCCGTTCTCTCTGTTCACAGGATGTTCGGCAGCATGAAGCGGTGCGCACGCTGCCAGGCCGCGATCCTGGCCTCCGAGTTGGTGATGCGCGCGCGCGAGCTCGTCTTCCACGTGCGCTGCTTCTCGTGCGCGGCGTGCGCGGTGCCCTTGACGAAGGGCGACCACTTCGGCATGCGGGATGGCGCCGTCCTTTGCCGGCTGCACTACGAGATGGGCGCCGAACTGCATCCGGCTCAGAGCCCGCCGGTGCCGGTCTACCCGCCCGGGCCGCACTATCCCGGCCAGCCCTTCCCCTCGCCCGAGTTCCTCCACCATCATCCCCATCATCATCATCATCATCATCACCACGCGCCGCCGCACCCGCATCACTCGATGCATCCCCAACACCCGCACGTTAGCCCGGTGTCGCTGCAGCCCTCCACGCCCGCGGTGCCCGATGCGTCCTCGCCTCCCAAGGTGCCCTACTTTAACGGCGCCGCCGCCGTAGTCCCGCCGCCCAGGCAGAAGGGTAGGCCCAGGAAAAGGAAGCCTAAGGATCTGGAGGCCATGACCGCGAGCCTCGGTGAGTGCTCGGATTTTAACGATTTTGGTATTGCGATTGAGAGAAAGAGAGAGAAAAAGTTTGCATGTCAAAGTATCAAAATTTCAAAAATCTTTCATTAACTACATTAATTTCATTAATTCTCAAAATTTTCGGACTCGCAAAGTTTCAAAAATCTGGAAATGTGTCCAAGAGTCGAGAGATAGAGAAGCTCAGATTCGTCGGGGAGCGAGAGTGTCTCGCGGAGGCCTGCGACGCCCCGTGATTTACGGGCATGCGTGGGCGCGCGGGACACGCTTGCCACCGAAGCCTGATAAAATTTGTCGGCGCGACATAAATTCCCGAATCGAATTCCCAACAAAGCGCGTAGTATGCGGTCGCGCGTGGGCGGCAGCTCTCTCGCCGATAGTTCTCTACCGGGCGAGGACTCAATTCCCGATTGTTGAACGATCGCGTGGGAACAAGTTGGTTTCCAGCCGAAAAACTAACCGCCATGCGGACCTGAGGCTTCCACTTGTTAGCTTCTCTCTCTTTCTCTCTTACTTTTCTTTTATTTTTCTCGTTGGAGGAGGTCGTTCGGTGTCGCTGTGTCGTCGTGAAAAAGGATCGTAGCGGCGCGCAGGTGATCGTCCGGGTACCACAAGCCGGTCTCTGATCTATCGTGGATCATGCCGGCAATTTTTTACGGCTATCGCTAAGGGCCGCGACGGTCCACGCTTTCGAGGCGAGATAAATAGCTGTGCGTTTAGTAATTGCGCTTGAGTTACGGTTGTAGTTCGAAGCGAGGGTCTCTCTCTCTTGCGAGCGAACAATTTGTAAAGATTAATTGTCTAATAAGAGACGCGCGGTACCGCGGTCTCGATAATTTTGCGTCTCTAGATTGCAGTGGAGAACAGATAATTATATATGAAATTAAAGAGAGAGAAAGAGAGAGAGAGAAAAGTTAAAGAAATAACGTCCTGAAAAGAGATTACGAAATCTGCAAACGCGCGGTTTATTTATCAAACATTCTCCAAACACTCTCTCGATGTCTCGCGAGCTTGAATAAAGCTATTGACTGAGCCCAGTTTCGAATATAACGACGAAAGCAAGTTTTAACGCTGTTTGATGCATATCACACTTCATTAGCTCCTCGAGTGCAAAGAGATCGACGAAGGGAGAGAAAGAGTGGAAGGGGACGGTGATAGCGTACGCGAAAGGCCGGTGAATACATGACCAATTACAATTCTATGTGGCAAATAATTTATAGACACGACACCTTCTTTTCGACAAGCCAATGATATTGTCGATTCTAAAGAGAAGATCGAATTTAGGGAAATTGATCAATAGGATGTAAAATAGGAATTTAATTTATATTTCTGACTCTCGCGATTTTAAAATTGCGAGTCTTCGCGATGAACCTCGAACGATTAAATTCTAGAAGTCTTCATCAAAGTTCAATCGCAATTTCACGACGGCGTTATCTGGATTTATGTTGCAGATTTAAATGCGGATTATATAGACATGCCCTTTGGTAGAGGAGGTCCTGGGACACCAGGTATACCCGGCTCCAACAGCAGAACGAAGCGTATGAGAACGAGTTTCAAGCATCACCAGTTAAGGACGATGAAGAGCTACTTCGCGATCAATCACAATCCCGACGCGAAGGATCTCAAGCAGCTTTCTCAGAAAACTGGCCTGCCGAAAAGGGTGTTGCAGGTAAACAGACCGTTCGCTCTTGCGATTTGCAATTTCGCGCATGTTCTTCCTTTACGGTTACGATTGCGATGTTGAAACTGAGATTTTCTCAATCGTTACGATTTTATTGACCCCTTAAGCGTAGCGCGCGCGTTTAACTCCAAAAGCAGTTATTTAATTGACTTCAGTTGACCCCGTTTATTCGCGTAATATAAGATACGAGATACATTACATTTTTTAATTCCACATACATAGAAAAATTTATATTGTAAAAAAAAACTGACTAAAACTTCACACAAAGTGTCTGAATTTCTGTCTGAATTTCTAAAAAATATTTTACTGTGTATTCCAAAATTTAATATTAACTATGAAAATAAAAATTGTTTTTCTTAGAAGATATTTTATGGCAAGAAGAAAAGATAATTTTAATAACAATCAATGCTCGTTTAGCCTGAAATAATTTCACATGTGCTTAAATGCGTTCTTCAAAATTTTTCACTATCTCCTTGCGTTTTGTCATATAAAAATATTCAATGACAATAAATATTTTTTATTTTACACTTATAAAAATTATATTTAAATGAAGTACCGTTAAAATGATTAGCACGTTAAGCTTCCCAACACTAAAAAAAAACCGACTGAACACATTATCTGAATTTTCAGACAGAATAATGTCTGAATTTTCAGACAGAATGCTGTCTGAATTTTTAAACACGCTTCAATTTTCAGATGCATTCCTCTGAACTTTCAGAAAAAAAAACGACTGATGATTAAGACAGATCGTCTGAAATTTTTTTCAGATACCCAGGTCTGAGAATTCAGACAAAAATGTGTCTGAATTTTTAGAAAATTTTTTACGGTGCACGTACTGTTAAATCTTTGAAATGTGCCATGTATCTCTCTCCGAGACGAGAATCTTCAACATACGGAATATTTCACGTAATTGTAAATCTTCTACTTTCGACTAGATTTAATTCGCGAACGTTTATAAATCAGCGTGTAAATATAACAAGAACAATCACGCGCTTTGTCGCAAACGCGAGAGGAAATCGGGAGATGGATAGCCGGTGGTTCTCGCACGGCCTTTGCCTCGCTCACAGCACTCTCGGGAGGGTGTGAGATGCGTCCTATAAAAATATTCACGTGCATGCACGAGCCGCGTAGACACGCGCTTCTTCTCCCAATTAGTGTGGCGCACGGCGGCGTGGCTGCGAAGTTAAAAGAACCGCGCGGAACGGAGCGATATTTCCGTCGACGCTCGGGCTGCGGCCTTTCTCCGTAATTACGAGCCGGCGTCAATCCGAGGAGACGCAGTCAAAACCCCCCTGAGCTAAGTAAGCTTCCGTCGGAACCCGCGCCGGCCTGCTCTCGTTAACCCACCTACCGTTAAATTATTAGACTGGTTACGAGAGTTTCGCGCGTTCCTTCCTTTGTGAAGCGTGTCATGGACGCGTGGGAGGGGATGATCGGAAGTGATATTGACGATTTGGAAGTAAATGAGGCGATGCGAAATGAGGTAACACGGTCTAGAAAGGAAATGAGGTTCTCGCTTTATACCTCAGTTTCATTCTTTACAGATTGCAAACTCGGCTTTTCTGCTCAATTTCAAACTGTAGAGATTAACCGTGAAGATTTTAATACAAGGTCATTATGCAATCAAAAAAGTGTAAATTTTCAAAGTCTCAAGAAAGTTTCACCACGCTATCATCAAATTGTGAATCTTTCAAATTAAGTTTGATAGAATTTGATAGAATTAAATAATATATGGATATTTGTAATAAACTTATTATTCCTCTTTAAAAAAAAACTAAAGAAGATAAATGATTTGATCACAGTCGAGAACAATTTTGAAAAGAATCTGATACTCGAAGAATGCTCAGAGATCATCGCCATGTTTCTCCAAACATTACTTCCGTACAACAGTCACTCCGTTACATATTGCTCCTGCTTCTGCGTTTATTCGTCGAGTCCGAAGGAGAGGGTTGGAGGTGGCTACTATTGTATTCGTAGGGTTCTTGGTCGCCATCTTGCTTGATATTGATCGCGAAACGCACGAATACTTGTCCGCCGCACGCGCGCGCGCGCGCGTACCACGCATACACGATCTCACGCACTCGAGGGGGAAACGCACTAGTTGTCGGTTTGCGAGTTCTTTCGTTGCAAGTCTACGGGGGAGGAGACTGTCTTGAAAATGGCGACGCGACCTGTACCGTCTTTCATCTATTGTGAATACAAAGAAAATGTCTCTCTTCTTTCGAACGTACGTACCTATATGCATTTTCTCTTATCTGTAAACGCTATATTTGCGCGGATAGGTATAGAGCGGTGCTTATAAATTCTTTTCAATATGATGTAAAAACAACATAATTTCTCTACGAGAATATTACGACCCCCTACGAGGGATGTTGCGTAGCTTCATGTAGAAGTTGCTGACTGATAGTCGGCAGATCCCAGGTTCGATTCCGTTCGATCCTTATCCTCCGTATAAGCTTCTTAAGAGGTTGGAAAAAGATTATATGTTGTTTTTAAAAATAATCGTATTATATTTGTGCGAGATAATCGATAGATTGGAAGTAGTTTAAAAAAATAGAACAGAAGTATTATATATAATAATATATCGTTTTCATTAATCAGAAAGGACTATGCCCAGTTCTTTATTGAAGTTGGGCTCCCAGTGAACAGCATTGAAACATGGTTAGGATTGTAAGGCATCAAAAAAGGATTAAAAAGTTCCATGTACACAATCTTAATATGTTAGTATAATGAGTCTAAAGTTGTCCAAAAGTTCGCTATTATGACCATGTATATACATACGTATATATGGTGCGTATGTTCGCCAGACTTCAATTAGACAATTAAAACCTTTAATATTGTATTTCGTGAATACCTCCCTATTGATTAATATATGACTGTTCATTTGGGGCCCAAACTGGGCATAGTCCTTTTTTCACACGTTCAATCATTGTAATCGATTGTTAATCGGTCGTATCTCGTACAAACTTTAGCAACATGACTTGACTCGTAACGTAACACGACCGAACCTTGTGTTCATCTTTGTTCCCAGGTCTGGTTCCAGAATGCGCGAGCGAAATGGCGACGTATGGTGCTGAAACAAGAGGGCAAGTCGGACAAGTGCGACGGCGGGGTGGACGGCGGCAGCCTCGGCGACCTTGAGCTCTACGGGAACAGCGCCGGAAGTGGCGGGCCACCGATGAGCCCGCCTTTCATGCTCGGCGGCCCTCATAGCCCCGCGTCCCTAGCGTCTCTGGACTGCGCGTGATCCTCGAGGTCCAGGTTCGTCCTCCCTAACTAACGTCACGTCCTTGTCCCGCGATACAACGTCGTTCGCGGCGATTCCGGGATGTTATCGCGGACGGTTTCTTGCGCGAGCGATTTCGCTCGCGAAAGCAGCGACGGATTGTATTACTAATCGGCGAATTAGCTGTAAAAAAGGATAACTTTTTTTGCGATGTCCAGCGGTTCGAACGGAAATTGGGATGATTAGCGAAGAATCGATCGAGGACTGCGCTTCTCGAAAGCGCCGACTTATCTCGATTGAATCCGAGTTTCTTCGGTGGCAAACCGATAGAAATACTCAATTTTTCCTCGCGTCATCTTGTCGAGAAGCTCGCATATCGGTTCGAACGGCTGATCGAGACGACGTGAAACCGACGGACGTGTGGGCATGTTGACACATTCGTGTGGATCCGTTTAATTGATAAAATCGTTGTATTTATTGTAGCTCGAATTGTGACGCTTCGTCGCAGAACACTAAAGTCGTTCATTGAAGGCAATGTAATTAGTAACGAGATCTATTTATTCGTCTAAGTGTAATTAAGGGTCGCAAACACATTACCAGTGCTGTGTGAAAATCCAGCGTTTCGGGAGTTCTCGAAGAATTGTCGACTGCTGACATTTTTCAGCAGAACCTCACTTGTTAATATTTTTCGAATGCAATCGATTATTATTGGAATGTCGACGAATCAATTTGTTGGTTGCATATATTGAAGTTATCAGCATTATTTATATCATAATTTTTCCAACAGCATGTATATATATTTTTTTCATTTTCGCTGCAGAGATATTTTCGACAAATTTGATTACTGTTGATCGATCGAGAACTAATGAAATTTATATTCTGTTTTTACGCTGTCTTTATTTTTTCTCGAAAAAGACAAATAATAGCTCAGAGATTAACCAACACTTCGTCGAATGCGCGAGAGTGAAACGCTGGATTTTGACGAGATAATATTAATTATTTATAAAACACGAGCTGCGAGAGCGCGTTATCGTAATTGTATATTATTGCTCAAGAGACGGCGAGACAGATCCCCGAGATTAATCCACGGTTCGACACTGTTACTGTAAATAAAGGATGTTCCTCCTCGTATGTGTATATATATATA